AGCCAAGGCTCTGCCTTGACTGAGTTTAATATATTTCAAACCAATTCTACAGATGAGGCTTGATGACGGAGGCAGCAAAGATATGTGAAATGTTGGTGAACTTCTACCAGACTACATGGTGCAAAAACTCAAAAGACAGACATCTTCCCTTCCTTCTGCTGCTTGGAAATAGAGAACAGATCTGTTTACTAGGAGGGACTCTTCAGGGGCAGAAAAAATATTTTAGAATCTAATGTGGGATCTGAACCTTCATAGAGACCATGCATTTCACATGCTCAGAATGCTCTGCTGTTATCAGAAGCAAGAACTGAAGAAAAATCTGTATTTGATCCAACCTACGGCATTCAGTATGGCCACAAAAACACAGATGCTATTATTCATACATTTTGTGTGAGAAAACCATTTACCCAGTGTCACAAATTCATAAGAAAACACCACCCATTGGCTTACGTAGAATAAACCTATAAGAAATTCAAAATATGTAATTAGCTATAGATTCTTTTGTTGTGCAATAAGCTGGGACATTTCAAAACAAATGATACAAACTGTATTTTTCATTTTCTCTGAAATTATACTTAAGAAAATACAAATTTAACAATTAGTTTCACTTCATATCTAAACCCTAGACATATAAAACCAGTTAATCAGTGAGACAAGGCTGCAGTACAAACTGTGTGTATGCCCACTGATAAAGTTAAATGCAACTGTAACTTTCTGGCACCGAGCAGGAACTGCATAAGTTACTGTCTAGCACTAATAGCAACTACTGTTAAAATTACTCACATACAAGTGAAACTGCATCCAACATCATGTTACATACCAATTATTGCTGTGTGTGTGGGTATCACTTCATTTCCTGATGAACAGTGTTTCTCTGCACAAACTGTGCGTGAAATGTGATTCTGCTAAAAACTGTCCGGAAAAAATTTTGTTGTAAATTTTCTGGGATCACAGTTCCCAAGGAGAGCAGGCATGTAGAAATTCATTAATAAAGCCAGGTCTACTGTGTTACTTCTGGATAAGAAATCTCATAAAACTGACATGTGCATTCAGACTGGGACTTGTTCATATACGTTCTTGGCAGATGATCCAGAAGTGGTTTGCCCTTGCCTTCTTCTGTGTGTGAATGGAGTCATTGTTGGGATGCCACGGAGGAAAACTCCGTGTTGTCTAGACCACGGCCTTGCCCAACACAAGTTATAAATTCGGGCACCGCCGGGAATCGAACCCGAGACCCCAGGATTACAAGGCCAGCGTTCTAACCGCTAGACCACCACTGAATAAGAAATAGAGAAACTGGGAGAGGTTAGAAAACACGATAGTAATCAGTAAGACGCCTTGCATAAGAGAGCAGCATCTCAAAACTGTCAACAGTTAAAGCAACAAAATTGCTTAAACTGTGTCCATGCTAGGTAACAGTATTTCATGCTTTACAGCCACATGACTCAGTTAGCAGGATTAATTTCTACAGCTGGATTTGGAATCAGCTCATGTATGAAATTGACCCTTGTTTGACTCTGCTTGTATAGGGACAGTATTATAACACAGGTAAGTTTATTTGATTGTTTTAAAAGAGAAATACTTGAATCACAGCAGGATAATTTTGTAATGCTTGGAAGTGAATCAAACAGTTCTTATCAAGAGCCAGGAAATTACAGTTGTTCTGTCAATGGGAGCACTGTACCAAGGGAATGATGCAAAACACTTAACATAAAGTTGACTGTAAATTAACAATAACAAGGTAAGAGATTAAAAACAAATATCTTTTGTGTCAAGAGAGGGAAGAAATTACAAAATAGACACTCTCAGACATGCCAAATAAAAATATCATGTGTTCCATGTATTCAAGATCCTGGAATAATGATATTTCTGAGGATAGATTAACTCAATCAGTAGACAGTTTCCTAGCATACATAAAAAAAAGTTTAAGAATGGCGAGTACGAGTGTGGGCCAGAAGATGCCCACGAACTGTAAATCCCTTATGGCATATATCACACTTGAAGGGTCGCTCACCAGTATGGGAGCGGATATGCACCCCAAGTGCCCCTCGCTGTGTAAATCCCTTACCACACTCATCACATTTATATGGCCTATCTCCGGTGTGCGTCCGAACATGAGCATCAAGGTCCCTTCTTACTGTGTAACTTTTACAACAATAGTCACATTTATAAGGACGATATCCCGTGTGTATTCGATTATGAACCATAAGGTGACCTTTACGAGCAAAACTTTTAGGGCAAACTTCACATTTATACGCCTTCTCTCCAGTATGCGTACTAATGTGAGGCACAAGATTATCAAGCCTACCAAATCTCTTGTTGCAGAATTCACACTTGAAAGGTTTGTCAGCATTATGGATTCGCATATGGGCTACGAGTACACCACGAAGAGTGAAACTTTTAGTACATACTTCACACTTAAACGGCTTATCACCAGTGTGTTTTCGATTGTGGGCAACGAGTTTGTCGCGAGTTATGAATCCTTTACTGCACACGTCACATTTAAATGGTTTATCTCCAGTGTGTATTCTCGAATGATTTAGAAGGTGGCGGGGCTGAGTAAAGCCCTTACCACATACATCACATTTGTAAGGTCTGTCTCCAGTGTGAATACGAGCATGAATTAAAAGATTTGAATTGCGGAAAAACCCTCTAGAACATACTTCACACTTGTAAGGTTTTTCGCTACTATGAATTCGAGAATGAGATATAAGATTATCCCGTCGCGAAAAGCTCTTACTACAGAAGTTACAATTGAAGGGTTTCTCACCAGTGTGGGTTCGATTATGTGCCACCAAAAGACCAGGTTTCAAGTAACTCTTACCACACACTCCACACTTGTAAGGCTTATCTTGTACTATAGCACTCACAGAACAATCACCTTGAACCAAAGCCACATCTTTTGCAGTACAATCACCTTGAACCAAAGCCTCATCACTTTCAGTACAATCATCTTGTACCAAACCATACTCATCCACCCTGTAAGAAAGGCAGTAAGTATTAAAGCAGACAGAAACATAGTGTGATCTTCTGAGTAGTAATGCTGTATGGACTTCTTGGTAGGTAGGTGTTTTAAAAGAGCATACTGCTATCTGCCTATAAGTCCAAATAGTGTTACTACTCAGAGGAATGATGTTGACATCTTCACAAAAGTGAAAACCTTGGAACATCATACATTACTGTTGGTATTAGCTTAGTCAAGACTCTTTGGGATTTATGTTATGGTCACATGGCAAAGGAATATTAGAACTTTGTGGTGCTGTAAACTCCTGTACCTTAGCAGTGGAAACACTACCATCACCAAATCCAGAAAACAAATAAAGAATATCAGTCATAACACCACACATTCAAAAATATTTATATAAAGTATTGTTATAAGTTAGTGATTCACACAACAGAAACATATGCCAAGTAATACACAGTATTCCATCACATTCTTGTATTATAAGACTAGGAACAGCTCAAAAAAGAGGTAACACATTCAGACTTGGAACTTAAATAGATGAGGTGTCTTAGATTTAATTGAACAGATAAAATGTAAATGTGATTTGGTAAACTAAAAAATACAACCATGATCCATCTGTTATATGTTTGGTCATCCACATGAAACTGCAATTACCTGATTTATTTACTGTATAGTGCAAAATATTCTTTGAAAAGTTGTTTGTTTCTTGGCTTGTGAAAGAATACCTCACTTTCTTTTTGGAACCCTAAGGATAATCACTACATTCACAAAAAACCGCCACAAGACTCTATCCTGAGCTAGGTGCATCCACTTCGCTCCATCAATTCAACAGTGATTACTGACACAATAACGCTCACACCTCATTCAATTTCAGTTATCACAAAACCAATGCAATGGAACAACCATATGATTGTTACAAAGATAGTTTTTAAGTACCTCTTGGGAGAGTGATCAATAGCATCAAGTTAACTTATGAGATCCACACACAGACACTAAATGCATATGATACATCACACTCAAATACTGTGAAGTTGGCACATTTTAATTTAGAAGTAAATTCAAGTGATGCACTTCAAAATAACTAGAAGCCAAATCTCAGATACTAATATACAAAATTATTAATTAAAAAGTAAAAAAATAATATAGAAGTGATCTCACCTGTCCACATCTGGCTCTGATTTTATCTCAAACTTCATCATTTCAGGATCATCCCATGACTCTTGCTCCTGTACATAGTTCATTAACATAACCAAAATGTATAGGCACCAGAAACAACTTTTAAAACAAAGTAATAAGGTAAAGATGGAACAGACCCTCAACCTAAGTTACCAACCAAAAGGACACATTGATAAGACCAACACACACCCATGCAAACATATAAATCCCTCTGCCATTCCCTTCAATAAAGAACTGACTAGTTCTACGACATGATGATTTGAAAATTATGAATGATCATTCAGCACATAACCAGCCACATTATGAACACCATATGCCTGAACAGATTTGCTAAATGGTAATATGTCTAACTTGTATTTAGACAATGCCCCATTTAATTTCTTGAAGAAAAAAGTCATGGTACCTTAAAAAAAAAATTAAAAAAATCCAACAGATGATTTGGGTGGAGTGTGTGCACAAGTTTTATGATACAAAAACCCAATATATGAGGCTCTTACTCCAAATGCATGTTTGTATAGCTGCAATCACTTAGTAGCATTCTTATTCTCACTTAAATAAAAATTGACCAATTATGAACTGGGTGGAGTCCTAAAGTGAGTTCAAAAACGAAATTACACTAGTACTCACCTCGATTTCTGTTTTGACTGCAGCAAAAAGAAATGGTAAAGGCTCATCTTCGTGACTTTCACGGTCGTATTCTGTTGGTGAAGGTACAGAGGACTCTTCTTTTGATTCGATTTTCACATTGACCGCATCCATGTTCACTCTAACCAACAGAGGATTTTATGGAAGTTTTATTTTAACCCGGTCGGTCAATCGTAATAATCCAAGTTTTCTTTATCTATAATGTTATAACTATAGCATTACGAGACAATAATTCTGCTGTTACTTAAAGTTTCACAGTACGGTGTACAAAAATGGATACTCTTCAGAAAAATAAGTGAATCAATACAAGCCACGCCAGCAAAAGTGTATTAGTTCGCACATATCAAACGACAGTTCGTATCCTATATGCCGTGATGAGCTGATATTAAATACTATAAACTTTCCACAGTTCCTTCTCCTCTGCGCTTGACTAATCTTAAACATCTAAAAACACCCAAAAGGGGCTGGTTTTAAGATATTCGGCCTCAAACCAAATATTGGCAATCTGGTACAACTTATGTTGAGAGGTAGGATTTGAGGTTTTCACAGCAGTGATCCTGAAGATTGCTGTCTTCTGGGTTATTGCGCCGTGTAGACTGGTAGATTTCCACCACGGTGTCAGAGGTCATACGGCCGTCATGACGGACGATCGTGGAAATCTACCAGACCACACGGCGCAATAACCCAGATGACAGCAATCTTATGTTGAAAGATTTGTATTGGCATTCTGATACTCAGCCTTAAAATAACTCGGGGTCCTATCCACTTTACCCAAACCAAATGGTCCTGGGTTAAAATCTCAGCCCAGAGACCTGGTACCCTGATAGGTATTAATGGGTTTCCTTAACCCCTCCAGGCAAATGCTGGGAAAGAACCTCATATTAGGCCATGACTGCCTCCTGTATATTTCAAGTGAATTATTGACTAGTGTCTTCTGTTTTGATGCTCTGAGCCACTGAAAGCGTCATTAAATAAACTGTAAATAAATATGGCACAAAACTGTAAACAAAAATAAAGGTATGTGAAGTGAAAATGGTTATATGAAATGACAAGAGCTGGACAACAAACACAGTCGGATGCTGTATTACAGAACTGAATGTAATTTAATTCTGTTCCAGTTTGGACCAATGCACACATCAAATACAAAACAGCCTGTTCGACTATGTAGTGATGCGTAACCTTGCTCTTGTTGGCAACATGCAGTTTACTGCATTAACCAATGTGTGTCATAAAGATATCTCAGATGGTAAATGTCTAATGATATTAACAGGTTATTATAAAAATGTCAGATGGTAAATGTCTAATGATATTAAAAGGTTGTTATAAAAATTAATTTTTGGTTCTCTGTTTTTTCTTGTGATTGTATAATGATCTTTGCTTTAAAATAAATTTAGCAGAGACTACTAAAACTTGATAAATATTATCCAATCAAAGACGTACCGCACATTTAACAAACTATGATGGAATGTCATTTCAGGGCTTCATTTTTGTTTTCAACTAAAACATGAAGGTAGAACCAACTTTTCAAATGTCAGGATTTTAAATTAAAAAAAGCTTAGATAATGGACAAGTCCAACAAAATAATCATATGCAACTTTCTCCTCGAGTTCTACAGACTTTGCTATCAACAACATGTTCTGGGCTCTGCCTTTAATATGAATTGGGATAGTTAAAAAATTGTCCAGGTTCAGACAATTTTAGCCAAAAGGTCACTTCTAGTTTTAACAAAAATCCTAACATTCCACTGTTGTTTAACAGTGTGTATTAACTGCATAGGTAATATAAAAGGCAAATGGGGGGGGGGGAAGATAAAAGTTTAAAGATACACAATGAAAGGAAACATTCTGATGAAGGTGACCAACAGTCAACTCTGATGATTATGTGCAAGTGAATGGTAAGTGTGGAAAATGAGTCAGAGGTAGCTATGACTTGTGCTGAGGCACCACAAAAGGAAACCAGAATTCTGTAGCAATACAGGATTTCTTCTAAACCTGAGAAATTATTTACCATGACGTAAAAGATTCCCAGGCCTGGAATAGTTAAGAAGTTGCAACAAGTCTGAAGAGAGTGGCAAATGAGCCAGAATCCAGTCACATTTTTTATTCCAATGTTTGGTATAATTTCTTTTCAAACCTGACAGGAAACAGGAGCTGGAGTACCTGAATATGTCACTAGGATGTTTTATACAAAATGGAAACGTGTATTTCTAAAATCATCTGTATCATGTTCAGACACCATACTGGTCAATACATGTTTCACTACAAGTTATATGTACAATATTAAAAAAAATGCATCAGATATGTTCAAAACTGAACCATATTTTGCTGAACATCATTTGATTTGAAAGTTACATGCATCACATTTTAAAATAAAAAATCTACTTCTTGGTCACTGATAGTGAATAGTAAAATCATAAAATCACTTATGGAAAACACCAATGAATCTTTCTTTCAATTTGTGAATGAATGTCAGTACTTAAAGTATAAAGTCTGATGAAACAATGTACTAGAAGTTCAAGAGCATGTATCATATATCTATAAATATGTGGGCTGTAAACCTACATACATATATGAATCTCCTGTTACAGTGTCCTAGTTTCTTAATGAGCACCAATATTTAATAAATATATAAAAACACTTCAAAGCCATAAACCAGAATGTGTGGGGAACAGTGTGGCACATTAAGTAATATTAACTTACCACTATGGCAACATGCTTTCGGTAACAAGAGCACAAAGCTCAGTTCATACATATAGCGACTAATATTTTTTCCTGTTAAACTATTCCTGCTACAATTTCATGATTCCATTTTCTTTCTATATATATATAGAAATATATATATATTCTACTCAATTATGTCTAAATTATCAACTTATTACTTTACCAGCCATTTTTTAAAACTAAATTTTGTCGCAACCAGAACACAAACCAGTAACTCCTATATTATTGAGTAGATTTCATACATTTGTTCTGGCTTTCATTTCTTCATTTCTTCATATATTCTACTTTATCTAATAATTTCTTTTAACATGATCAGTACCTCTTCCATTCTTAATATTACAGGACTGCTTCTAAATTACATTTGCACAAATATATACACATGTATTAGCATTACATTGACAAGCCGGTGCCACCTCCCACATAAAATAAGCTCAGAGTATTCACATGATATCCACATTGAGTATGTGGTCTTCATATGAATGAAAGGTCCCACAGTTAGTTGCAGAGCTAAAACATGAAAGACTGGGAACATTTTGCAAAATAATGTTTATACAGGACAACTAATTTTAGGATCTTAAATCTTTGCATACCGTGTAGTGTATTAGAACATAAAATAAGCAAACAAAAAACTATCAACAATATAAAAAAGACACTAGTGCCAAACGCGTTTCAACCTCAAGAGGTCATCATCAGTGGTAACAGGGAAATTAATTCATTTAATCAAAATGGTTTAAAAATAGGGGAGTGGCTGTGTCGGGGCCACGGCCGTGGGTTTTACGTGAATACGTCTGCGTTAGCGGGTAATATTTTCTTTGGGATATGGGAATGAAATTCGGTGAGTATGGGCCGACATCAGAAAGTTTAAATTTTTCACGACTTATTTTTGATTTGTCACCAACAAATATTTTACAAAGTTCACATTTTATGGCTTAAATCGACAGATCTAGACGAGATCTTTCGTTTGGCACCAAAATCAGCACGCTAGCACATCGGAGTCGCGAATATACTGCCCGGAAATTTTCACCCACGCCCAAAATGCCCGCCAGTCGCCGCGGGCCCCCACCCGCGCCTCGTGCATGCGAGGCGCAAACTCAAGGTCATGCTCGATCGTAGTCCTATACCCGATCGAACGAGACCACATTTATTTCAATCGTGTTATTAGTCACGAAGTTATAGTGTCGGAATGGATCACCCTGCAAACGTTACATCGCCGTTTTCTTCCTGGTACCCCATATGTCGGTCTGATTTTAAACACGTGTTCACGTCAAAATGGTTTGTTTGTTTGCTTATTTTATGAACTAATCTTAGGGATAAAATATAAAAAAATTTCCCTCTCAGATAGGCAACCTGTAACTGTCTTAAGTTTGCACACCAATTTTAACCATTTTTAAATTCTCCCTATAAATATTTTCATGTGTATTCTAATTTAGTGTGGCTGTTCTATTAAATTAATCTAAAATTTAATATTCAATTTGTATGTTGGAATTTGCTGATGGAAACAGTAAAAAATGTTTCTGTAGCACATCTAAACCCAATTTCAAATTAACCTGATTTACTGATATTCTATCTCATTACCTGAGAGAAAAGTAAGATATTTTCCTCACTTATTTATAACCATACATATTTGATCAGAGTTATAATCTGACCCAAGTGAGGATCATTCTGGTCACAGGTGCTAGTCTGCATGGATCAACCTACATCTGCCATCTACTGACCTGTATAACAGAGTAGTGGACCAAAGAGAAACAGAAGGAAATATAAAAAGAATGCTATGCTACAGATGCAACAATAATCAAAAACTGGACGGAGGTAAACCATGGATGACAACACAGTCAAATATTTGCAGTGCATGGCTGGCATCACAAAACAAGCAAGGGGTACTCCTGCACCCCAAAACGCAAAAAAGAAATGTTTATTTTGTGATGGAACATACAGTGCACATCTTCCTCAGCATATGCAAAAAAACCACCACAATCACTGATTGGTTAAAAAGATGCCTTCATACTAATCTTGCAAGTTCATGTGCATTTAACAATACATTTAAATACTTGATAAACTACTCCACAATAGAGCTTTTGCATGGAGCATAGCACACTTACATTTACACTGTTACCTTGTAAAATTTAAGAAGTTCTTGTTCTTCAATCTTGAACATTCATTACATGGCTACGGGAATGTCTTTGCAAATTATGCTTATGTGAAAATCTCTTGTTACATACGTCACAACAGAACGGCTTTTCACCGGTGTGTGTACGTAGATGGGATTGTAGATGCAGGCTTCTAGAAAAGGCCTGATTACATATTTCACATCTGAATGGTTTCTCTCCGGTGTGAACACGTAAATGGCTATGTAGGATACTTTTCTGCGAGAACTTCTTGTTGCATATCTCACAACTAAATGGTTTTTCTCCCGTGTGAGTACGATAATGTTTCTCTAGACTACGCCTTTCAAAATAACCTTTACTACATATTTCACATGTGAAACGCTTGTCTCCCGCATGCATACGATAATGCTTCTTCAAAATATCTTTCTGTGTAAATCTTCTGGGGCACAATGTACAACTAAATGGCCTTTCTCTTGTATGTGTCATTCGATGCACAACCAGCTCACCATTCTGAATGAAAGTTTTATTGCATATTTCGCATTCATATCGTTTGTCACCTGTGTGAATACGATGATGCCTTTGCAAGTTGCCTTTCTGCGAGAAGTTTTTATTACAAATATCACATTTGTATGGTTTCTCCCCTGTGTGAGTGCGCCTGTGCGTTGCTAGATGCCCACTTTGGCAGAAGGCCTTGTTACATATATCACATTCGAAACGAGTGTCACCTGTGTGGATGCGATAATGTATCCTAAGATTCTCTTTGTGCTGGTACTGTTTACTACAAACATCACACTTGTAAGGAAGCACAATTCCTTTCCTAGCGTTTGAAGAAAAAGGCTCACTAGGGATATTGCCATCCTGATATGTGTTAACCTGAACTGAAGAAGTGCCACTACTGCCACCATTCAACTGTACACTGGCTGGCTGATCCACACTGTGTGTACTGTAACAAGGAAGCACTGAAGCACTATCATGCATCACATAATAATTTGTTTCATACAAAACACCTCATAAAACTAATCTGTGTCTCAAACCGATGAAATAATGGAGTCAATCACAGCACTGAAGCATAACACGAAAATGGAGTAACACAATACACTGCTACATAGAAGAACACCAGACAGGTGGGATTCTCTACTAGTATATGAAAATACTAATATACCAGAAAAGTAATTGTTTCTTTATCAAGTGAATACTGCTGTACTGTGCCAAACAGTATTACACATGAGTTGTGAGGTATTAGAAAATGAATGGCACTGTTTATAGGCACATCTGCAAAAAATGTGCCTGTTGGCTTCACCATATCTGTCAATATTTAATAACCTAAGAACTGCTGAACTGAAATTTGATACTGGGGAGTTTTAACAAACTGTTGCATACATACTTCTGTCAAAACCAGGCAATAATGAGCATTTACATGAAGACCAACATTAGTTCCTGTGTATATAAGTGGCTCTAAAATGTTGGGCAAATCCTCAATCAGACAGGCTCCCATAGCATTACCCAGTCATGCAATAGAATGACACGATCGCCATACCAGACAAATCATCCAAAGGTCACTGATCCCAGACAACTCTGATGTCACAAGTAACATTTGTAAAAGTCAATGGTGTTGTATTGTGCAAACTGAAAATCTAGAGGCAATGATGGAGCAATTGCACCAGAAATAATGGCAATTTCCTAACTTTATAAGACAGTATTTTGGGTTGTAGTGCTGTGTAGTCTAGTAGAAATTTACCAGTGTTTCAGAGGCCCTTGCTGCCTCCATCATCATGACACTACAACCCAGAAGACAGCCATCTTTGGATTCACCACTATGAAAACCTCAAATCCTACCTAATTTCTTAACTTGTCACACACTAATACAAATGTGGAAGCATGATGAAACCTTGATAGAAGAGAGATCACAAAGGAGGAGAGAGACAAAATACTGAAAGAAAGAAAAAGAGAGAGAGCAGAAGAAGTAAGGACAGAAAAAATAAACAAGGGATGTGTTAACATAAAAGCAATTTACAGGAGTTCATTAATTTATCAAAATTAAACAAAAGTCTATGGACAACTAATTTCTGAATATATGGACTAACCAGTTCACAGATACTTCATTGTCCTCTATGGTTACTTCATCCTTGAGCTCTTCCTTATTTGGAGTGACATCCCATGACATTCCTAGGGCAGCATCTTTACCTGAATCAGATTCCTCCTTGTCAATGTCCACACTGTGCTGCAATGTGAAAGTTTCACACTCCATATGTTATGTAGTACACATCTGCCTCAGTAAGTTGGTCAATTTAATGTATTTCATTAGATTACTAAGTTAAATCTTAGTGAAATGTTTAATTCCTATAGCAAAAGCATAGAAACCAAATACTCATGCAATGGCACCTTCAGTAAAAAAAATTTAAACTCACCTAAGATAGCTAACATTAATAATCATGGTAATACGCTCTGCTTCAGTAAGTAAACTGTTCAGAAAGACTTACCACAGCTTCACATTTCATTATTGGTAACGTTTCTGGTTCAAAGTGTTCAGTCTTTATAAATATTGGTTCATATTCTTCCAGTGGAGTAGACGGCCGTGAGCTGTCTGATTCAGGTTCCTCTTTGATTCCATCCATGCTGTTCTGTAAAACATTGATATTCATACAAACTCTGCAACAATTTATGGTGACGTTCACATAGTTTTAGGAATGGAATATAGTATAGAAGTATGAGCTTCTACAAATTCTCTCCCAAATTAAGTTTTTCTTATATTTCACTCATTTGACCACAGTCCCATGCCCAAAAGAAAAATTCCCAAAGCATACAATTTCCTAATATTATGTAACATACATGTAGTGTCATCACACAAGTGTCACAGTCATGGCATTTACAATGTCTGGGCTGGAGATTATTGCATACATATTATAGGTATTTTCACAAATATGTTCAGTATTCAATAATTTTCAACTGAAGTAAATTATTCTTGAGTAGAAGTGAGATAAAAGATAATCTTTTAATGCTGGCTTAAATACATTTACATCATTGATTTAAACTTTTAATTTTTTTCTGGAACAGCACTGAATAATTGGATCCCTGAATTGTAAGCACGTGTCTGATAACCAGTGAGCAATATTGAAGGTGCCAATAATCGGTATTATTAAGCTAGGTGACACTTTCCAAAGGTCAGCATGAAGTGGGCCAAGTTTCATGAATCTCATGAGATGAGAAATCTGGACCCTTCCTAACAAAAAGGATTCACGATCATTACATGAACAACACATACAATAGCTGCAGGTACAAAAACACTGTACCTACTTGGAAGATACTTATACAAAATGTTTATAATTTTAGAAATGATTACTTGCACCACTACTTTTATCTATTGCTGCTGATATGCTTTCTGCAAACAACATATAAAAAACACAAATATTTCAGTTATAAATATCACTAAGAGACGCAAGAAAACACAAAAATCGCAATGGTACAAAACGAACGAATAAACAAAAAGTCACTAGCAATTTCTATCCACTTTCTGCAATAAATAAGCGGATCTACTATAGAATTTGCAATCGAATTACCCACCTTCGTATTTGTATACTACGCTGTCTTTGCTGTAATTTAGTTTAATTAATCTTGGTATTATTTCTACAAATCACCACGACCCTACTCACACTTAGCAAAATACCACCACATCTACACAAAACAAGATGCCGAACGCAACATATGCCACCTGAATCATGTGCTAAGACAACGCCACTATAAAACTACGTCAATAAAATATTCTACGTTCTTTTTTCCTTTATAAAAGACATGTTTCTGCCTCTGCAAAAGATGCCTACACCAACATTTATACCCGTTACCGAGAAGGGCCCAATTAAATAAGAACGTGCCAAATATATTTCTGCTGTGCAGTTATTTCATTAAGTATAGAACACTAATGCCCTCGTCACTAAACTTGGAAAGACGAAATCTTCCCGTGACCTCCACCTGCCCAACAATGGTACCCTCCTTGTAAAATCGCAATAAACATTTTCCTTCTTATCAGAATACAAAACTTCAAGTTTTAATTTATTACTTATGCATCCATTTTAGAGGCTTAACACTTGCACAATGTCAATTATCTCTTCCATGCCATGTAGTGAGCCCTAACGAATTTATTTACTCGTATATTACTGTGTGGTGAAACTTTGGCCCTGGCTGCATTGTAAACTTATCACACAACTATCAGCAAACTGATTGCTAAACTCCTAAACATATCATGTTTGTAGCTAGACTCAATTGAGTGATCAGCTGAGATGAACTGTACATATTAGTATAAAGCATGATGTGTTTGTGGTTAAAGAATGGATTTAAACTTTCTGTCACATATCTTTGTAAATAGAAGCTGAAAAGCAGCTGTACGGCCAATAAATATCAAGCAGACGAACGCGGGCTGTTGCGCGACGAGCAGTTTGGGTTTCGGCCCAGACACAGCACGTCAATGCAGCTGGCTCGCCTCGTCGAAAGGGTCAACAGAAACCATGACGAGAGGCGGCTAACGGCGCGGTTTTCCTGGAAGTGGCCAAAGCCTTTGACACAGTCTGGGTCGAAGGCTTCCTATACGAACTGACCGTTCTCAACTTCCCGTCGTACCTGGTGAAAACCATCTCTTCCTACCTCGCTGGCCGGACATTCCAAACGTCCTTCCAATCGGCCACGTCCACATGTCGTGTCATGCGGGCCGGACTCGTCTCCCCTGTGCTCTTCAGTCTGTATGTCAACGACATACCCACACTGTCCCGCCACGTCGAGTTAACGCAGTACGCGGACGACAAGGCTTTCTTGGACAGCCGATACAATGGGTCAAAACAGCGCGGTATCTGGGGGTCACCCTTGATACCGGGCTTACCTGGTCGGCGCACGTCAACCAAATGGGAAAGAAGGCAGCGCAACGATCGGGCGTGCTAGGCACGCTCCTTAATAGGAGAAGTGGTCTGTCCATCAGAAACGGTGTGCTGATCCATAAGCAGATCGTCCGTCCTATGATGGATTACGCATGCCCGATCTGGAGGTCAGCTGCCAGCAGCCACATCAGGAAGCTGCACGTGTTGCAATCCAAGCGACCTCGCATTGCGACTAACGCGCCTTGGTACGTTAGTAACGAAGATTTAGGGATCCCGCTCTTTGCCGACCACATCAGAGCACTGACTGAGAGATTTGACTAAAAGTCAGCTGGCGTGGGAAACCCCTTAGTCCGGCAACTCGGGAGGCACTTGTGCCGAACGAGGGTTGACAGAGGTCACCCAAGGGCAACCGAGGGGGATTGATGTTCAGCAGATCAGCCGAGGCTGTCCCTGAAAAGACGGCCAAGTCGGCGCAACGAGTGGTCTGACCACTCGGCTACCCTGACTGAGGTTTTCCGTGATTTTACTCAGTTGTAAAGCAAATTCCAGGGTATAATTCAAGAGGGGCACGGCCCGCTACCCTCAATCACGGAGGCCTTCAGCCGAAGCGGCCCCACCCTCTCTGGGTTTAAACCCCAGAGAACCAACCAAATTCTTTTGGACAAGTTGCCTGACAGGATAACCTCCCATCAGCAGCAACAGACCCTAGTTTGAATGGTCGAGGCTTCTGCCACGATGGAACCTTGTTAGCGTTAGCAAAATTTCCGTTTTTACTTATAAGGCTCTGTTTACCATTTCCAGCAATGCGTTTCGTACGCAGGAATGGGGTTACCTAGCAAGGGACGATGCTTGCGCTTGTGCAGGACTCTGCCCCTTAGTTAGCTTTTTTGGTTGGTTGGTGAGACAGATGGAGTGAAGCGAAGAAGGGCTGAGTCACAGAAAATGGGAAGCAGAGATCGGGTGAGGCAGACCCAGAGTCAAGCAGATACAGGCTCATGCACAGGCCGTCACGCAGAGACCTTGTTAACCAGAGATGGAGTGAAGCAGAGACCTGGTGACACACCGTGTAAAGGAGATACCGGTTGAGGCACAGACCGAGTCCGGCTAAGACTGTGTGAAGTAGACAGTAGCAGAGGCTAATTCTAATAGTGATGGGTTAGGTCAAATTTAGAAAAAAATATTTCCAAATTTTTCGAAAAATCAAAAAACGCTGCAAATCTTCTGAAAAGCGCACAAAAGCAAAAATTTTCGGAAAATTCGAAAAAAATTTACAAGTTGAAAATTTTCAAAAATTCTTAGTTTTGTGCGCTTTTTGGATGATTTTCTACGTTTTTTGATTTTTCGAAATTTTTTTCGGGAATTCATTATAACATTCTGTTCATATGAAACATCTGTGGATAGTTGTGAACCAGGTGTGTCACAATACAATAGCAATATCAATTCTTGGTATACAGCAGAATGACACAACACTAATTACAATACACGCTACACACAACTATTATTGTTACAACAGGAAAACAAATGTCAGTCACGCAAAGACAATTTCAGTTCAGACCATTTGAGAAGGAAAGAAACTACAGATCCAGGTTGTTATTTTATTGTGAATTCAAAATATCAGAAATATATGTAATGAAATAAAGTTTCAAGCAATGAATATTTACCACATTTTTCCCCATTTGTTTCCATCCTGCATTATCATTCACCAGTGAGGTATCCAATAACATGCTTATCATAGAAGGCGGTTGGTGTAGAACCGATGTATCGCCCTACTGATAACCGGTCCAATATGACGGTTCAGGAAGCCATAGCGAATGCTGGCAAGGAGTTTCTCCCCAGCTGAGCCTTCAGCCTGGTACGCAGCCATGAGGTCTCGAAGTGTAGGGTACTGCTCAAGTATTGCTCGCACCTTCTCAACTGAGAGACCGTGCAGTTGAAGGAGTTGCTTCATAAATAAGTCCTGCACCCTCTTGGCCTGTACATAAAAGAAAATTATACAACATATACAAGGCGCTGAAGAGAAAGAAGGACTAAGAGGTGGAAAAGATAGGAGAGGTGGAGGAAGAAGAAGGAATGGCACACAATAATAAAGTGAAGGAAGGGTTACAGAGTATAACAACAAAGCACTAGTTCCATCCTCCCAACTTATCCCCCAGAATTCTATTTTAATGTTACCCTCCTATAACCTTCACAGTTTTCCAAAACTTTTGCCAGGCAAAATTCTGTATGTACTCCTTACCTCCTCCAGCATACGAACATTCTCAGGCCATCAAGACATCTTCAGTTTTACTATTCCAACAATATTATGTGCCCTACATAAGTAACAGAGTGTCCTGTCATGTTTCCCAAATAAATAACTTACTTCGTAATTCCTAGGCCCAAATATTCTCATTTAATTTTAAAACATCTGTAATTTATGTTCATCTCTCAATGTAAGGTACAATGTTACACCCACACAAAACAAGCGGCAAACTTATTGTTCCATACATAATAATAGCAAAGGACAAGCAGCACATGTTTAGAACAATATTCTGAGCTCCCAGTCAGATAAAAATGGTATTACTGCAAAACTTGTCTTTCCTTTGGCCAATCACTACAAATACTTCACATTCCTTAACTTATCCTGACTTTGCATTACTGATCAAAATCCTATGAATCTGAAAATTCTCTTCCAATTATTCAGGAAATACCGAACACTATTCCGAGCTATTTCACAGTTTCACATTCTGAAGAGTTTCATCCCCTTGAGATCTTCTCGCCAAAATTTTCAGTTTATTATTTATTTCTAATTTCTCCTGTGATTGTAGAATGTTACAGTCTCATACCTCTCACTTTACCTGCTCGCCATAACTCAAAGGGCCCATTATATTTGGTGAAGAGTACAAATGTTAAAGCCCCTCATTATGTATTTCTCTCCATCACTCCTGTAAATCTGTCTGTATCATGACGAAACATTCTCTGCACCATCCTGTGTCAGTGGAATTTGGTGTTCTGGGTTGTGATGCCATGTAATCCTGTAGGTGGTTAGCAACATTTTGAATGAAACTGCTGTGAAAGCCCTTACTGAAATCTATACATATCCCAACTCTGAGGCTAGAAGAAAAATTCTGTGCTCCTGCTTGGGATCAAACACTGGTCATCCAGTCTGCAGTCAGACACCGTGCTGACCGAGCCAGACTGGCTCATGTGAGTATCAGTTAGGTTTGGAATTACCTTAGTCTTACATGAAGACTTGTTGAATTCTGAGAATGTCATAAGAGATATGAGGTCGTCTCTGATGTGGCAGCATGGCAGATTGCCACGATGGCAGCTGACGAAAGTCTTGTCGCAGTAAGAGGCACTTAGATGGCGTGTCATGACAGACAGATAACGCATGGAGTTGCGGTGGCTGGAAGTTATCTTGACTGTGAACATATTCACCACTTGAGTGTTAATGGCTGCCTGGGTCAGAGTATCCAGTGGAAGGGATGTGCGTCTGTTGTCGCCATGACTCTCCACAAGGTATATCAGGTTCTGCAGCCCACTCTGCTTCATGCGGAACTACACACCACAGAACACATCAGTCCCTGAGGCACTAACTCAGACACACAGACATTTACATGTTAATTAACATTATGATGCTTTATGAACTACACAGGTTACACATCATATTTTATAAACAATAAATTGTAATGATGTAGTCAGAAGAGATTATAATCTAATATATGGTTCTAACCTTGCATTTAACTGGAGGAAGACTACAGGAAACCTCATTAAGTTAAAGGGTCTCTGGGTTAAGATTCAAACCTGGAACTCCCTGAATACAAAGAACATCCAATCACCACACAGTGTTTTGTTTTCAGTAAAATATTCTGTCACTGGAGGGGGGAAATAAACTGTGCTTAAACTGCCTTGAAGAGTTCAAGGACATGACAGAGATCATATTTAGCATGGAAAAGGTTAATAATGTAATATTTCACAAATACTGTAACATGAAGAGGATGTGATTCTATCTTTCGGGCATAAAACAAAATTACGACCAACACTAAATAATGAAACTAAATGCTTCACCTTCTGCTCACGGAATCTTCCGTCTTGGATGCTGCTGGCAAGGTCATCCATTCGCTTCCGCTCCACTATGTATGGTAACACCAGCTCCTGGCCTGTCACACGGTCACGACAGACCCATATGAAATCTCCCACTGTGAGGTGTCTGACCTCAAACAATGTGCCCAGAATTGACAATTCTGCAACAGTTGCACCCTCAAGATGTTTTTGTCCAGAGTGTCTGTCGGGAGAAAGACAAAAAGTAGATAAGATCTGAGGTTCTCACACAATGGCATACTGATCTACCAGACTGCATGGTGCGACAGCCCAGCTAACAGCTATCTTCAGAAAGAGAATAATTCTATTGGCCTATGACTATTATACTACACACTGAGTCAAGTAGTAGGAAACTTCTGATTCCACAATTCATGTGCATTTCTTCCAAAAGTTCATAACCAAAGCTATGGTATACAATTTACATACAAATTTATAAAAATAGTCCATCATGGGAAATATAAGTCTGCTTTACGTAAAAAAAAAATTTAAACATTTTCTCTGCAGGCTCTTACATGGGCTTAAATGATAAAATCTTCACGTATTCATTAACTCAGTCTTCATGTCACACAGATGGCAAAGTGTTCGTCCACTCCGTTTGCATGTGTGCAAGGTCATAATATTGAACAATTCTCACTGAACTGTACTAAATAAAATGGCACTGAACTAACTTTGCACTTGTACCTGCTGCTATTCCTTTGAGTTCCTCTTCAGCAATGCCATCTTCCACATATGGCAATGGATTGCGTGAATATACAGAATTTTTTTATTTCACAATTAAAAATGAGAGTAAATGAGTTCATTTACTACATTTGTGTAGTCTGATACTCTCGCGTAATGCACGGTAATTAGTATAATAGTTTGTGTCAAAGCCGGTAGATTCTTCTCATTATGCATCAAGTCTGAGCAACAGAATCTCAATGAAGATTTGATATTTTGATATGGTTGCAAAAACTTGTGTCTTGAACAAATGACATATAGGGTTAGTCTGTATTATGTCACACTGACACAGAAATGTAACATTACATTGCTGAATGTCACATCCTGATACTCGTGTAACACAACACTTTATACATACACAAATTAGATTGAATATCTGTCTATACAAAAGACATGTTAACTCATAGCCGTGCACAGTCAACACTCTATACTCACCCAGTTGTTTCACGCTTGTCTACAAGGAGTATCACATCAAACAAGCCAGGCACCAGGAAAACTGTATCATCTGCAGTTTTTTGCTGTCTTGGTGGAGGCTTGTAACACTTCCTGATGGATGGTTTCTTCTGAAATGATACAAGACAACCTTAGCTCTCTATGATCACAGGAGTGCAACATCATGCATCCTGAAAGATTTTAGGAGTCTTATAAGGCAATGCGCGACATATATTGTCCATCTTTTAAATGAATTTGTCAGCATTAAACAACCCAGTAGAAAAGTCATACCAGAGCAACTGTCTTGAATCCTAACATTAAATAATTCCAAAATGGTTGAATGATTCAAAGGCTACGTAACAATGCTGTTTCAACTTCAAAGGTTGTACAGAACTACTTTCAGTGAGAATATTATCATGATAGCACAATGGCAATTTTTAATTTTAAAAATGCAACTGATATATCTACAAGTTTCAAGTAACACAAGGAGCCACAGAGTCTTGCAAGAACTTCTTGTGTGCAGCATCGAATACTGAAGCTGAACTACAGCTGCAAAGAATGACTATCCTTCGCATATATTAAAATATTCTTCATAACCACAATTATGCTACTTACTCTGTTTAATAATACTGTATCAACTTTAAAGGTTAAAATATAATATGACATTTCAGCATGATTATGTCTAGGAATTCAAGGATATGTGATCAACCATGGCCTATCTCAAGATACGAGGCTCGTCCACAAAGTAAGTTTCCCTGGGGCCATTTACAGAAACAAAACACAATTTCATGGAAATATTTATTGCAACAGATACAGCAAGTGTCCAGCTATTTTTCAACATATTCGCCACCGGAATTGAGACATTTGTCATACCGTGGGACCAACTTTTAATACCTGTGTCGTAGAAGTCTGCCGCCTGGGATTGGAACCACTGTGTGACAGCCATCTCCGCCTCTCTGTCATTCTCAAAACGCTGACGCTGACCGGACAGGAATTTCTTGAGGTGTAGGAAAAGATGGAAATCACTGGGAGCGAGGTCCGGGCTGTAGGGTGGATGATTAAACACCTCCCAGCTGAACTCCTGCAGGAGACTTGCTGTCTGTCGAGCCGTGTGCGGCCTAGCGTTATCACTGACCGCACTTCACAGTCGGCTGGAGCTGGAATAAGAACCTCCATCTTCAACAGCTGCAACGATGCTACTGTGAGAACGCGGGAAGTGCCGTTAGTGCATGCGCCATGCTACGTCATTGCTCTATCACGTACGCACAGTCGCTTCACGCAATATAAGGTTTGCTAGCTGTGTGACGAGTGGGAAACTTACTTTGTGGACGCGCCTCGTACAATGACACAGTTCTGCTAGGGTATTAGAAAAACATTTCCCTGGCCAGGTTAAGAACCTCTAAAATATCAATCGTGTGGTAAGGCCTGCACCGCAATGTACATTAATATGTTAAAAACTGATTATATGTGACAATGCACTTACTAAACTAGGATGGCTGTTTTTGCAGTCTTTCTTCTTGACAGATATGGTAAGGTGGTAATCCTTGTCATGAGACATATGTGTGTTTACAACATCAATGTTACTAGCAGCAGCATAAGGTGCATGCCCATTACTAGACATGTGTATTGGAATATTACAAGGGGCAGCATCAGCAAGAGGTCTGGATGGTGATGCACTGCCCCTGTCACGAAGCTGTTGAGCCATGTCTGCACCAGCCTCAGTTAAACTGAATCTGTGAGACAGCAAGCATCAATCAACAAGCTGTTCAACCTTTATTAAGTCTATATTTTTCATAACAAGCATACTTAAAAAAAAATTGTTTCTTTAAAGTTATGTTGACCTGCCATCTACTGATTAATTAACCACATAAAACAATGTATTATTTTAAGCACATTAACGATAAATTTATTGTTATGGAATCTGAAAGTCAGTCTTTGTGCTCACGGAAACTGGCCACTGGATTCTATTCTGAGAGAGTTTGTTTTACTAGTTACTAAGTATATTATCGCTGCCTACTTCTAAGCCTCAAAACCTTCCATCTACAATCTGTAAAAATACATAAAAATGTCTCATTTTCCGACAAGCACGCTACCTCTAATCATTATTACCAACAATTTTTTCACTGAGTATCTATTTACATTAAAGTAACAACTTGCAACCCTCTGTGCCTCTTACAGCAGGCACAGCTATTCTGGCTGCTGGGATTCCATTTACTTACAGCCAATGGACCTACAATCAATGACACCTCACTCTTCAACTGCCTGACTGTCAGCCTACCGCCTAGTTCGGCAATGAGAGCAGAAAGTTTTGATTGGCTGATTAATTAAACTGTTGGTGGTTTCTCTGCTACCATTTCAATCTAAACATGTCCAAAAACTCTCAAGGGTCAAAAACAAGAAACAATTAATAACATTTATAAAAATGTAAAGAGAGAAGTGGGTGGGGGCAGGCAGGCAGGGTGGCCAATCTGCCAGCTGAAATTCTATTGAATGTGTTGGTACAGGAACAGAAGCGCTTCCTTTAAGATAATGTTCTTTGTGTAACATTACTACAACCATAACAGTAACCCATCTTCCTCTGAAGTGACTGTACATGGACCACTGCCACTCAGACTTGTCACTCACTCTTACCTTTCTAATTCTTAAGTTCACTGGCCAAAATTGGCTGTACCTGTTATAGCGCCACAAACATGACTTATTTTTGAGGGCCATATTAACTCAGTCTGTAATGAGATTGGTTGTGGGCTGGACAATGAGTTCAGATATCCTAATGGACATTATATTCTTTGACCATCACAAGACAATTAGTTAAAGAAAGAACCAAAAAATATACCAAATAAAATCTGGGTTGTATGGCTTCCTGGGAAGATAAATATGTGACAATTTAAAGTGGACTAATACAGGAGAAAGTTCACAGGCAGTGTTTTGTAACAGCACGGAATCATCTAAACCAACCAAATAACTACAAACTATGCAAGAAGACTCTACACTAATGGAGTCAGCAAACACATTGGCGGTATATGGAGTCCACATACTTACTTCGCAGGACAACCATTTCGCAGCACAAGCCCTCGTTTTATGAGTCCTACAATGCACGACCACGCAGTGTAGAAAGAACCGGGGTCCAACTTCTTGAACGACGTGTCACACAAAGGTTGTGCCATTGTCTGAAGCTCTGTTTTTGTAAGGAATCCTGCACATATACATAAAAGGCTAAGATAAGTGACAGAAATATTTCTGTGAGAAAATAATTATCATTTATGGACATTAGAGAATGATTTTTCTCAACTATTCATTTACTATTTCTTGCTCAAAGGTTCAGGTATTCAGTTATATAAAATTATTCATTAATTACGAGGGCAATAATTGATGCAGTAAGCTTCTCTGAAATGTTGGTCCATATCCACCAGAGGCAACTTGTGTAACTTTTATTTGAAATATTTTTCAATGTCATGTATATGTAATAAATCAGAAGACAAGAAATCTGTGCAGTTTAATATTCCTTCAGCTGCTTATTGGCAACAAAAGAATATTAAGACTCTTATCACGAAAAAATAACTTTCAAAATGTGTATACTCCATATTAGAGCACGCCTTTCCACCTTTTCTTTGTAAACTGGCTTCCACCCAAAATTATAAATAGATATGCTGACAAGAGAAGTTACCTGGATAGTCTGGTTTCTGTGACTCTTCATGAAGTGTTAGCAGAATAGCGTATGGACCTGACCGCCATGCTGGAAGATACTGCTTATTATTCCTGGCAACTCTGACCCTCTATGAAAATAAAAAGCTATATCAATCAGCCAATAAAAAGAACTGTAAGTGGAAGTAACACACTAAATATTTCAAGTTATTATGTTAGGTTGACAGTCTATCAACACAGCAATTTTTGATTACAGTTTCAGTGTTTATTAAGAATCCACTACATGTTCTGACCTCAATGATCATCTTCAGGTGGTTCCCTTGAAGTGTTCAAAACTAACACATATGACTGCTAATTTTCATACTTATTTTCTGTTAGGTATACAAAGTAGCAGTATCTATAAGTTTTACAACAGAATCACCTGAAGATAACCAATTACAGTCAAAATATGTAGTGGATTCTTTTAAGCACTGAAATTATAACCAAATATTGCGGTGTAGACAGACTGTCAACCTAATGTTCAACAAACAACAGAATTCATCCCTTAAAATTGAAAACTATGTTACACAGGAAGATTTAGAACTGGAAATACCATACTTTATGCAAGTCAAACTTAAACTTCATGTTGCTTTGGGTCTTTTAAAAAGGGTCAACACAAGAATATACATTGGTAACTGCAGTTTAGAAAAGTAAAGCATACACATGTGCAACAACAGAAATGATCTTGCTACAGAATAAGACAACTACTAGTACAAATCTAAGAAATCTTTCTAACTCAGTCACAAGATAATATTCTCATCACTTATACCAACACCTAAATTTTTCCTCTTCGGCTCACTCTGACTGCCGCTGCAAGCTACTGGGCTGGCAATTACAGATGTAACTATGTCATCAGACCTGTCACCTATTCCTGTGAGTACAAAATAGCATTCACTGAGAACACCTGTAGGTAAATAATCTCTTTATGCAAAGGGTCTTTTTAGGAATACCAATTACAGCAATATAGGGAAAAGTGATTCAAAGATGAATAGATTCTTAGAATATGACAGCATATACTAAAACAATTGGGAGCCAATTTAAATACGTTCATACTGAAACATTAGAAAATTACCATGGAAACAGGAACCAAAACCACATTTTCTGTGGACTAGGTAGCTATATAAAACACTTGAGTTACCAGAACAGATAAGAAAATGTTAAATAGTAATTTGGCATACCTTCTGGATGAGTCTTCCTGTATTCATTAAGTTTGCGGTCTAACATTATACATAACCTGTTGCCAAAAGATTCTAGAATTCCACAGTCTCTGCCACTCTTTAATGGAAGAGGAAATCTTCTTAATGAGGATAATGCCTTTGCAAAACAATATTGCATATCTGAGCCCCTACTAGCTGCTTCATTCTTCCACTCTTCAAGCCACTTTTCAAACAATGGATTTGGAGGTTTCTTGTACTTCAAAGTTACTCGCTTCCTTCCACGCTTCCACGCATCAGCAGCCATTGTTATAGTAGAGGTTAGGTTCTGCTCATAACCTAAATATCGCAATACGAAATTAAGCGAGGTTAAACACGAATACACTGAAAATTAAAAAAGATCCTCACGTGATATAAGAATAACAATAACAATTATAGAATTTCAAAACATTTGGGTCGCCATGAAAATATATTTTCTCATTACGAAAGCTATGTTTAGGAATAAACATAAACAATTATAACAAAAATGTCTTATTTGGGTCAACTGGAAAAAAATATCAGCTATATCATTGTTTAGGAATAAACATAAACAATTATAATAACAAAAATGTCTATTTGGGTCAACTGGAAAACAATATCAGCTATATCATCTTATTTGGTGTAATTTTATAGCCCGATTTCATACTTTTATAATTATATATAAGTTCAATTAGCGGGAAAATGCTTAAATTTGATTGGGTCTCAAAAGGATTACAGAAAATTTGATTAATACAATTTTCCTATCTTACATTATGCATATATTTATAATTAGTGATTACACAAAATTATCATGTTGTTTTCATCACAGAAGTTTTGTACCATTTTGTGTCTTACTCCTTCAAGTATTACTGTTTAAATGTTTATAATACTGAAGGGCAGATTTGTTATTAAGTTCCTACACTTTCGTAAGTATTTTCCTCCTGTTACATTACCTTATTTTTATACTGACATAATTTTAACACTATGTAGTCAACTATTGTCAGTGTCAAGATAAACAACAAACTTATTAAAACTCTTTTTATCAACACATTATTTCCAATCACTGATGTCTTCCAGTTATAGTTCTGCTGCAATTACGTATGTTTCATGATTCGGTGAAATGTTATAAGAACAGGTTTAAAAGATTAATTCAATTGTGCTAAAAACTGCATTAGTTTGCATGTATAATAAATCTTGGTTCACACACCCTGAGTAAATAAAAAGTAAATACACATCTAGGGAAGACAAAAAGAATGGTGAAATTACACGAGGAATATTAAATGGTCATGTAATGTCCATAGTTTGGAAAAGGAATTGAACATGTGGGCTGTGTCTTTCTGAAGAGACACAAATTATAAGTAATGAAACCTTTTCAAAAGGGCAGAGATGCATAATGGGAATACACATATTTTTAAATTAATAGAGAACTCATCAGTTATGATGATGAAAAGAAAATTAATTTACGTATCTGTGTAAGATATCTGAGAAAAACACAAACAAATTTTGCTAAAAAAATTCACTGACTGGAAGACAGAGAAAGAGGGCTCTATTATAATGACAATCAGACTTTGAAGGATGTGACACTGATCAGGATTCAGGTTCCTAATACAAGGTAAATATTACTGACTACTCAGGCAAGACTATGTTGTGCATACAGTTACTGTCACAAAACATTTGTACATCAACTCAAAGTCACTGTCAAAATAAACACATTACAATTACATGTCCCATCTAAAACTGAACCCATTACATGTGTGTGAAGTGCTGCTGAATTTCCATTCCATGTACTGAGAATAAAACTAGCATGACAATACAAATCACCACACAACCTCAGCCCCCACTTTTGGTATGCTGCACCATGTATTCTGGTGCTTTAAGCTGCTTATTGCCTCCATCATTGATTGTTCTGATGGAGGGAGTTAACATACCAGAAGACAGCCATCTTCAACCTCACTGTAGACAGAAAAACAAAAGAGTCACAGTTCATGTTGTGCTGTGTTATCACACAACCAGCAGAAACACTTTCTAGACAGCACCATAAAGCAATTGCTGCAGTCTGAACAATGAGGGGAAGGGAGTGAGGCAATAGATGACATCATCACCACGATCATCATTATTATTATTACAGCCAAGAGTTAACATCATTATATAATCAACCAGTAGAAATTAAACTCCAAAAAGTACAACATACAAAAATAGTTTAAAATACTATGACAACTTTACTAGCTATTCCAGCATTCCAGACCTGGAATTATATCTGGAGTAGTAGCCCGTATATATGTGCTATGCAAGTGGGATAATCACCCCCTGCAACTACATGACACCCCAGCTGCAGTGTCCTATCAATTCTGCATTTTCAGCACTCACTTGGGGTACATACCCATAAAGACATATCTCCACTGCTGACGGGATATGATACAAGCAACAAGTATAACAAAGTACGATTCAAGGTTTTCACAGCGGTAAGTCTGAAATGGCAGTCTTCTGGGTTGTAGTCTGGTAGAAGTTTATCAGGGCAAAGAGTAAACTTACTCACCACCCTGATGATGGAGCCAGCAAGAACATCTGAATTGCTGGTAAACTTTTTACTAGACTACATGGCACTACAATCCAGAAGATAACCATATTCTAATATACATAACAAAGACATAACATTCAAGTTTGGGGTACATACCCCATATTAACATTTATCACATGCAACGCATCTTACACACGGGACAGAGCTGATCATGTGTCAAGAAGCATACAGCTAAACTGTTACCCTTCACAGCTAAGTCCAGCTGCAGCCCTGTAGTACAGAGGGCCATCTATTGCAGTATGATAAAGGTCAATCACTCTAACTGATGTTCAATAATCCAGGACTTCTACCTAGAATGAAAATGCATGGCATACTGCAGTACAAATGTGACATAACAATCATGTAGGAAGTCTAGACCAGTGCTTCTCAAACTTTTTGTTGCCGCGGACCGGCAATTTGTTTCCCAATCTGCTAGGGAACGGCGTGGGTGTTGAGGGTCAAAGGTCTTATATGATGTATGGGGTTATAGAAAAATAAATTGTTATTACTAATTTTTATTGAAAAAGGTATGTATCATCAAATTCAGTCAACTTCTAATGTGACAGATGATCTTTACAAGATTCTCAATCCATGGCTCAATTGAAGACAAAGCCAAGCGCAATGGAACATGAATGTCCATATTATTTTTGTACTTAGTCTTAATGACACACATGGTCGAAAATCCAGTCTCACAAAGGTATGTTGAGGGAAACGGAAGCAGAGTTTTAAGTGCAATTTCAGCTAGTTCGGGATATTCGCCTTTCAATTTTGTCCAAAATGAGGCAAGTGATGATGCATTTTTAAAACTATTCTTAAGTCCTTGATCAGCAGCTATCTCCAACAACTTGTCTTCCAAAGTGACCGGCAAGTCATCCTTCAGTGTAGTATATGGATGCCATTTTTGTTTCATTTTTAAACAATAGTTTTAAATCTACACCGGCGTTATGCAGACTTGCAGACTGGTCACTGATGGCTTGCGGACCACCACTTTGAGAAGCGCTGGTCTAGGCAGTTTCCTGATGGTGAAAAATTTTAAGGGCTGTTATTGCAATCAGAGGTAAGTATACTCTAATTAATAGTGCTGGAAAGGTATATTTGAAAATACAGGGGAGTTAACCCTCAGCAGTACTCAAGTCTGTTTTGCAGCAGTCACCTTACTCTGCTGGCAATATTAAAAACAAGATATTGTTTGTACGAGGAGTGGCAGGTCAGGCCTCTTGCAATGGACAGATGCCTATTGTGAAGTTGAGCAAGGCACTTTGTTGTTAGTATTAACAACATGTGACAGCAGTAAGTTCCATTTTACCACTACCTGCAGGACCCCTGGGTTCTCAGCAATCCACCTGAAAACAGTATACAGTGTTGACATTTCATTTACATCTAATCACATGCATAGAAGAAATGAGAAATATGCCCAAAATATGGGTGATAAAACCTGTAAGAGAAGAGACCACTAAGCAACTATTAGCTTCTTGAAAAAAATTCTAGTCCAAGGAGTTAATTAGATATAGCACGAGAACCTTTTTCCTTGCGTGCTGATTTTTAATTGACACACATAAATGCTTCCACAGTCGTATGTCTCCTTATGATCAATAAATTTATTTTTTGTTGTTTTCTAGATGTTTGTTGATCATATGTCCCTGCATGGAAAATTGGCAATAAATTAATTAATGCTTTTTTTGTTGTATGCTGCTATCTGGCACACATAATTCAAACTCCTTGAAACAAAATGTGATTATATATTATGGGGATTCAGTAGTTCAGAAGCATTAAAATCCACAAGATGTCCTACCTGCAAGTAATTCAGATATCAAACCTGTAAAGGGATGTCTGCTTTATGAGAATGTAATGAAGTCCCTTGATACAGAGTTTTTAAATGAAAAAAGGGGCATCCACCCCGACTAGCCATTCACTATATCCATTTTACACAAGACACAGAACATAAAAGATGTCACTTACTTCACTCTTCTCTCCCTGAGTCGCCGTTCAACAGCAGGCCGGATGTGCGGTTTGCCATCCACACTATGCAGGCCCCGTCCTGTGATGAGGATCAGCTTCTGTTTGGCAGTCTGTCGTTCAGCAAGTTTAGCGATATGGTGATCCAGAAACAGATCAAGGGCTTCTATTGCTTCAGCCACATGGAGGTAGTGCAAGTCAAGAGTTGTGCTATTATCCTGTGCCAACGTGTGTGCAGACAGCAAAGACGCAGCCGCTCGGGTATTGGCATCATCCATACGCTGCTTATGCAAATTGGCCTACATGGACAAATGCAAGTTTGTGATCCACTAGCACCGTTTGTTTTGATTTAGGTTTATTTCATGGCATTTTCTCAATTGCAGAGGTTATAGAGCAATGTATTGCAAAATATCTGTGAATAATAAACACAATAGGATGTGCTTTGAATAGAAGTAAAACCCCAGGTTTACCTTGAACCATGGAAAACCATGAAAACCTGTCAGAATATCCAATTTCTAGCTCATATGCTCAACATGAGCTTTCTGAATGTCAAAGCAGTGTGCTGATACACTGCAGCGTTTCATGGTCTAATTTCATTTAGCAGCTACAGAAGATCTACTGGAAAACAGTGTACATCTTTGATGTGTTCACTGCATGTTCTCTACCGCTTACCACTTGGGAATAATATGATGCAACAGCAGCATGCTTCTTCTTTAAAGCATCTTGTGCCTTACAAAAGCACTCTTTATACAGCTGGTAGTGGCGGCTTGCTTCGGCACGATAGTAGTTCGCATCCTCCATTGCCTGTTCCTGTGGGGTCACATTACAATTAGCGTTTGGTGGGTCCCGCACTACCACTGTAGGCAGCGAGTCTGGGGCTTTAGCCTGCAACATACAAAACAAGATAATTGTTCATAACAGTATAAATGCAATGTGCAATACAAATACCAAGTACAAATGTGCCCACAATATATACCGACTGTTCCTGGTCCACTTTACGTTGTTCCTCCCTGGCTTGTTCTATGAGAGAACGCTCATAAGCGACACGCGCCTCAGGTGACATGACTGTCCGAACACCTTCTTCCTGAGCACCTCCCATAGACATTGTAACGGCCTCTACGGTCTTCTGTAACGATTTATCATGAGCAATAAACACGTCTAGTAGCACAGCCTTATCCAGCGCTGGGAACATGTCACATAATATCTGCTTTGAGAGCTTTGTGGCCAGGTCATCCTTCATCTCCTTGCCTCGCCATTGGGCCTGCAGCAAGGAATCACAGCATCACTCACCAATGTGAGTCTTGTGGAGCTCAATGCAAGAAAGTGAACATACAGCTTCCACTTGCACTGAAATGTTAAGGTACCTGATCAGTTCTGTAAAGAGCAAGGGCCATTTCCATGTCCATAATTTCCTGTAGATCTGGAACTGCAGTGCCGTCCTCCTTTTCTTCCATCTGCAACTGACTAGCTAGCTCCTCATCTGTCAACAGAACATACTTCACGTGAGAGTACCTCTACAGGTATCGAACACACAGCCCACAATTCAATAAATGTTACAAATTTTTATTTAAAAAACTATTTTTTTGTTTGGAAGATGCTGTTCCTTTACTTTAAACAAAAAAGAGAAGAAAGTAATAACAATTTTGTTTTCTTACTTGTTCTACTATTAAGATATTAAGACAATGTGACTAAAGAAAGCATATGGCCTATCATCTGCATTGACATCATTAAAGAATGGCATGAAAGCATTTTCTGGAGTAATATAACAGAATCTTAGTGTTCAATCTTTTGAGATGCCAAATAATATTCCTACCTGAAGAAATGCAGTATGCAATAAACTTTCAAAATGCAACCAAAAGTGTTGAACAATCACAAAGACACTGAAAAGAAGAGTTAGAACAGTTGGCAAAATTCTGTCATTATAGCCACAGCAATGCCCATTAATTTATGGCAATGACATGGAGATCAGACAGTTGAAATCAAATTCTTGATCATCCCAGGCAACAGTGCAACAATTACCTATATGTAGGCATGAAAAACACCTTTAGAATGCCAGTGCCAGTATACACCCTTCAAATCTTATTAAATTTGGAATATGTTCTTCTAAATTAAACTCTCACCCCCCCTTTTTAAAAATATCCTTTTAGCTCCAATTCTGAAACATACAGGCCACCTTTCAGAGGTTTCTTTGATCTATTTAGACATTTGGTAGGACTCCTCAGACGAGTTATCAGCCCATCATAAGGCCTCTACCTGTACATGGGACAGCACAACACAGAAAGATGCAGAAAAACATCCATGCCTAGAGTGGGATTCGAACCCAGTGTCCCAGTGCCCAAGGGCACGAGACCCACAGGTCAGACCGTGTGGCTACTGTGACTGGCATACTCTCACTCTAGTTATTATTATAAAAAACAACAAAAAACTATGACTACTACTATATAAAGAAATGTAGTCACTACACATAAAGACTATATCACACAGCTTCATAGAAACAAACTTGTTTTAGAAAAGCACTGCCAAAAGTCGTTGAATATATGAGTGTGTTATGAAGTGGACAGTTGCCTGACAAAACTGACCACTGTACAAGTGATGCCCCTTAAGTTCCAGTCTATTCTGTATCAATTACACTACACCAGCATTCAATGAAGGGAAACCATTGAGGAAAACCACGGAAAAAAGGAAATTTGGGGTCCCAGCCGAGACCCAAATCAGGCATCTCCAAAATACAAGTAAAATGCATTACTGCTTGAGCCAAACTGCTAAAGATACCTTCTCGTATCATCTGCTCCATTAGCTTCTGCCGCTGCTCCAGCAAAGAAAGCTGTGATTCCACCAAGTAGTAATGGATCTGTTGAGCAACAGAAAGTGGCAAGTTCACCACCAGCTCTACATCTGAAAATACAGCACGAACAGTTACACTCCTAGCTCAAACCAATCACACAGTTTGGCCTGAAACACATGAATTCTGTGATACTTTTTTCATGTATGTTGCAGTACCAACTGATTTATGAAAACATATGGACCAAATGTGGATACGTAAACACCCAAAGCTTCTAAAGAATGATTTTTTTCCTTTATAAGGAAGTACACTTACATAAAAAGAAAAATTCCTAAATCATCTGCATGAATATTGGCTTTTCAAGAAGTTCACTACTCCATGGAGTTGGTTAGTTACCACATAAGAATTCATGTCAGCTGCATTTTAAAATCCAGAAAATTAAATATTCTGAGTTAACTAAGATATTCTTTAAGAACAGAGAATGGCCACATAAAATCAAGTTATCAGAATTCCAAGAAACAAACTCTTTCAGTCACTTTCATGACGTCTCAACATCTATCATCCATGCATCTTTAAGGGCAACTTTCCATATACATTTCAGTGGGCATTCAACAGTTCTTAATAAAAAGCTGAGCTTAATATTAAAAAAAGGGGCTGCGGCTTGATGCCATACCTTCAGGGAACGGGAGGAATGGGTTCCCGAAGAGCTGATGGAGCTGAGACACAAACTCAGGATCCAGTACAACAGACAGTGTTTCTGCTTCCTCTGTGCCACTACTACTGTCTGTGTCCTCATCTACAGCAATGCCATCTGTGTGCAGATCTGCTACATCACCAGGATGAGGTGTTGGTGTTCTTGTCCCAGAAGACCCAATAGCTCCAAGAGCGCTCTCTCCCGTGAACGGGCCGTTTCTGGAAGGAGATCGCTGAGGCTTAGCCGTCACTCCACCCATGTCCAACAGCTCCCCATGCCGCAGTTTCCTGATCCGCAGCGTAGATTCTGAGTAGCTGGCATCACTTATAATGATACTCTCCTCCAATTGTCTCTTCAGTTTTTGTGATTGTTCTAACAGTGCTGCGGTGTTCCATGATTTCTTTGCCTGCAAGTTGCATCGTGGTGACACATCCTCTGCTTCTAGTGGGGGTGCTGAAGGTTCTTCATTTGACACATTAACATCTGCAAGAGGTAGTCCCTCGTGGACAGAGCCTCCTGTGTCTTTTGCTGGTAACAGGGGCGTGAACTGATCTAGTTTTGATTCCAGCAACAAGTCTATGGTCCAATTCAAGTCACCACAGCATTTCTCAAATATTTCCTTCAGCCCATCTTGGGGTGCATTTGGAAACATGGCTTCCAACTGATTAAAGTCACGATTCCTCTGAGCACTAACTTCCTGTGCAGAGCCCAGTGTTGAACTCATGATATCTTCTTCAACGGTCATGGAGCTCTTGTCAAGTGTCAGCATAAATGCCACAGGTCTGTCAAAGTGTTTAAGTGGGGCAGTACCTTCACTGATGCTACGACTGTGACAAGTGATAATCCTGATGCCCTCCACAGGGTTAGTGGAGTCCCCGGGCCTGTTCACTTGTGATACGAGGTTAAAGTCTTGGTAATGTGTGTTGGTGGAGGTGTTCGTGACTGCTTGGTCTGCTTTAACTTCTGTATTATCCGCCATAGAAGAATAATAACCTCCTGCATCTGATACCGCAATTTTCTGCAACTCAGTGGAAAGTCTGTTTTCCCAAGAACTCTGCATAAAATCTTCTGGTGTAAGCAATGTTAACATTTTGCTTGATACCAAACTTGTACGCCCCCTACTTTGATCTGCTTGGCCACTTTCTTCTGTTGAAAAACCTGATCTCTGTGGCTGAGGACCATCTGATTGTTTGCATGCATCCTGCTGGGTGACTTTATTCTCCCATGACTTTGCAGGCTCTGGCACTGTTCCCCAGGCCTGGAGTTCAGGTGGCACAGCTTCTGCCACCTGCACTTCCGTATCAGTAGACTGCTTCAGATTTTGTTCAACCTTCCTATAGGGAAACCTCTGCACTCTGGGACTGCACACATCATCAGCCTTTGTTTCAACCCCCTTACCATTAGCCCAACCACTTTCATGTTCCCATGCTTCTTCCTTGTCCCCAGTTTCCTGCTCTTTGCACTTCATAACCCATGACAGCAAGTCGTATGTTGGAGCAGCCTTAGCCGAGGTCAAATTCAACCAGTCTTTTGCTTCTAGACTGCGTTCCTCAACAGGTACTTCCTTTTTCTCATTTCTAGAAGTTTCTTCAGAACTCACAGCATTATGATATTCATCTGTATCACTTCCTCTATCATCAATCTGAGGACAGGGTTCAGGAATATCATGATGAGTGTGAAGAAAGGGGCCAAGTTCTGTGCCTGTTTCTTTAGGAGGACAGTTCTCAGGATTCTCTGCTCGGAGCAAATTTGTGCCCGTTTCCTGTCTCCTTCCAGAAGCTTTGTCTGTCTCAAGCACATGTCCTCCTTCAGAATTCTCTGTCATCAGTTTCTCTACATTTGAATGCAACACAACAGGAGAAATTCCCAATCCCAGTTCTACTTTTTTAATGCTGGTGTCTTCTACAGGTGCTGCTACTTTAATTTCTATGGGCTGTTGTACTAGTTTCATGAAGCCAGGGGAGTGTGCACTCATATTTGAGGATGGTGGTAGCAAATGAAGAGTATCCTTCCCTGTCTCAACAGGAAGACTGGATAGCCACTGATCAAAGTCATCACGGGAGAATGGCTCTGACAGGATGCTGGCTTCAGACTGTGTTCGTTTGGTTGAACTGTCTACCACAATGCGTGCATCCATTGGTGAAAGTAACTCCTGTACTTCATTTTCCATGCTATCCTCAGTCAAAGCTTTTGTTCCAATACTCTGTTTTGCATTAACTATGAAATCACCCTTTGAGATCTCTGATTCAGTGCCAGAGTCAGCTGTTAGGTCGATAAGCAAACCTTCAGTCTGCTCTGTGCTGGACTCTAGATCATCCTCCATGCCTGTGTCTAAGGTTTCAGGATGGTGTTTCTGATACACCCGTGTTGAATCCTCCATTACTAAGATATATTCCCAACACTGCACTTCACTGGAGACAGGTTCTTCATTATCAGTCCCATTCAAGTCTGCCTCATCTCCATGATCATCACTATCACTCTGATACAGCCAGTCACCACCAACATGACGCTCTCCAAGTTCTGGCAGTTGACTCTGTGCATAATCAACATCATCTTCTTCGTCACTATCACTATCATCATCATCATCATCATCATCGTCGTCATTACTGCCATCATCCTGAACCTGCGAATTTATATCAAGAAGATTGAATGTGTCCATTATGCTTCTTTCTGATGACGCTGAATCAATACTGGTCTGTGCATTCACCGTTCCGTAGCTACTTGCAGGCTGTGGGATTTCTTTCTTATTTGACAGCAGAACGTCACTCACTGTGACTCCACTATTTAGGCGAATGCTTGCAATATCAGGGTCCAAGGTTTCACCCTTCTCCAGAGACTTCTTAGCAAGGAACAAAGTCAAGGATTCCATAAGAGAAGCAGCCTGAATAGCAGACTCTGGCTGCTGTACATGTGAGAGCTGGTTTGCATGTTTGGATCTCTTACGTCTCTTCTTCTTAAGCTTAGTTCCTGCAGGGATTACAGTTGCAGCTTGAGGATTCGTCTTGCTCTTTTTATTTTGTTTGATTTGTGGTGGCGGTGCATTTGCTGCTGGCTGTGGTGGCTTGTTCGCTGACGAATACTTGAGTCCAAGCTTTGCCAGAAGTAACTTGCCCGTCAGGTTCTTCTCAAAGCGAGCCAGCATGTTTTGGATCTGCTGGCGAGGAACACCATGAACATTTCTGCATGTTAGTTCAGCCTCATGATAGCGCCATGGAGTGGACGGCTCAAGTAACTCTAGCACATATCCATTCCTCACAGCAAGCTCAACATACGGCTTCATTTCCCAAATCTGCAGAGTAAAATTAAGTACATTACACAAAATCATATGCTTTCTAACATGGGTCTTCATATTAAAGCGCTATATACCTGCCAATTTCATAATTCTCAGAATTCCAAATTGAATAATCAGGGCACAATGAAACTGCAATGTAATACACAATATCACGACTGCAATTTGATGAAATTTAAGATTCTCAGTGTGAAGATGTAAATGTTGGTAATCTGGGTACTGATGCAGTTTGGACCTGTATGTGAAAAAATGCAGTAGTAAATTCCACCAAAATGTGTCTTCCTGTAAGATCATCAGAGGGCATTACCAGCAAGAACAACAACAACGCTATGGTTGCAATGCTCATTCTTTCTACACACATTAAATACTACATCTGTCATTTTGTCAAGTATGGAAGTTCGTGTAACCACATACTTAAAATATTGATATTTCAGCTTTTTCAACTTTGCCTGAATTAGTATGACAGTAATTTAGAACAACAAATACTAAATCCTGTCATGGTCAATGATTACACAAAATATAGCACCATTAATCTAGCACCAAATGAGGAAAGTTCTGTGTGGTGCTTGGTAAAACAGAAAAGCCATGTGACTACATGATTCCAAGAAAGTAAAGTACAGGGGGGAACCAAATTTATAGGAAAGGAGGAGGTGGTTAAAATTCACACATCTCACCCATGCATATGAGAAAACATTCCTAAATAAACTGAACACATACATAAATATAACATTTCTTCACAAATCTGATTTCTTTTACATAACACGTAAAAATGGGAAAACCATGCTAAACACATAAATACTAACCTCTGTGTTTGTGTTATCAACGAAGATAGGATTCAACTTGAGCTCTGCTGCATCACAAACACGTTCCTTGTTCCAAATGTGTGCCTCAGGCAGCAAGGTGGGAATGAACCGCTTTGTGTGATCAAAAAAGTCGTCAGTACTAAAGACGTATTTGTTGGGATTGCAATTCTTGCCCATCGTATGTCTCACAATCTCCTTGGCCAGGTGCGTCTTTCCACTCCCCGGGGCTCCGCGCATCAGCACCATCACCCTCGTACCTTCTCGGATCAACTTCTGTACCCGCTCTGGAATAGTCAGTGGCTTGACTTGCTTCTGCTGTGCTATGCGAGCGGATAACATATTTTTTGACGGAAGGTCAGCCAAGGTCTTGGCATTTGGCAGTTTGGTTACTGCTGCTAACTTTGAAGATATCTGCTCAGTTTTCTTAGGCTTTGGTACGGACATTCCTCGACCTTGGCCGTCTGACGGAGGTACGGCAGGTCTCACGTACTGGGATGTTGGCAACTGCACCACGCGGAATGCCTCGCGCACCGAGTTCACAGCAACACATCCTCCAACATCATACTCCTTCTCTTCTTCAATTACTACATCTGCATCAGAATCTGATTCTTCACAAGTGTTGGGGCTTTTGTAGGTAATTTTTATAGTGCCCAATGCAGGACTTGGAGACCTGTTCCTCCTGCAATAAAGAGAGTAATCAAAGAAATATAAACAGCATCAAAGAAAATGAAATGCCAAATGACATTTGTCTTCATACCCAGATTGTGGTTTGTGAACAAAACTATTTGAAGCAATGTTGCTAGCGTGTTTGGGTTCCTTCTTCCGTTTTGCTTTCATCGGGAGTTCTGGCACATTGATCTGGGGTTTTGCCAAACCTGCATTATTCTGCAGTTGTGATGAATTTCGGAGTACTGCCGTCTTAGGAATGTGTACATCTTGTGAGAGCATCATCAGTGCCTCAGTTGAGGCATACACTGAAACAACCACAACAAAAGCACATTTACTTGATCCAGAAAGTGAACGTTATACCTCAGGTATGACTAACTAGACTAAAGTACTTCTGTTGCATTACTTTTAGGTTACTTGTTGTAATCGGGCAGGAGATTAATTATTAATGACTAGGCTATCTGATCAGGAAATGTGCAGGGCAACTTGACAGTGTGGGGACATGAAGGGAACAACAAGCCATGAGTGTTCATACAGCTATGGTTTGTTTAAACATTAGGTAAACTAGGCAGTCGCCTAGGGCAGCAAAATTGGGGAGGGCAGAAACTTAACAAATAAAAAATAAATATAGTAAGCACCTAAAAACAGAAATAAAGAATAAATGCATGTTTGTGGCTTTGTAATATGCCACCGACAGTACTTGGTAAAATGCACTAATAGTTGATATGTGTGTAGAGAAGTCAATGATGAGACATTTCCTGACAAACAAACTGTCCCGTGAATGACACCTTTAGTTAATAGGGTTAGTTGCACTATAGGTCTTATCTTAACAATGACAATGTATATTAAATATCATATTATTCTTGTTTATCATGAAAACTAAATGTGAAATTATAAATGTAGAATTTTTATTCATACTAACATTCATCACTGGAGAGAATTGGAAGGAAAGGGCACAAGGTTGAAGGTTCACCTAGGGTGCAAAAATCCCATGTGGCAGCCCTGCTTATACCCCTGCATGAGATGTGCTGTTTCAAGCCAAGTTTCAATTTACATTCTGGAGGCAAAAAAAGATTGGCTGACCACATGGTAGCCTGATGTGAGGGTCACCAGTAGTTTTGATATTTTAACCAATCAGAAAGCAGAAAATCTTTAGTGGGGTAGGTGGGTGAAACTGCACAAGCCAACTTGCAAAAATCCTTCTTCTTTGATAAGGGTTGGAACCAGGTAGATGTTCTAAGAAGCTGCACTTGAACTATATAAGACATAAAACATAAGAGTATTTCAGTTATAATGACAAATAACACCCATGAAATTAGTGAAGTGTGTAACAGCAGTTATTTGTCTATTAACTAATTGGCTGAGAATGCATTAATTGTTTCCTAAGGTAACTATATGTGTCAATATGTTATAATCCCCAGCAACCAGTGGGGCAGTGAATGGAATTATAGCAACTGAAATGTATCTGTCCCAGTGGTCTCCTGGTAAAACTTAACATCCTACAACTAACCTACTCCACCCCCCTTCCTACCAGCTGACTGAGACTGCCAAATACTGATTTATTTTGTCTTTAATCTTGAAGGCCACACCAAGACAAAGGCAAGAAGAAGGTGAAACATGAAAGGATATAGGTATTTTAGTTTGTAGGCAAGCACATAACAGGTGACAACATTTTTTAAATTAGTCAAAGTGTATTTTATTTCATTCCTACTATTAAATAAACTTTGTTTTTTAAGTTTCTGTAATATGAGGTGAGTTCCTGGTTATGTTTTGGGTGTAATGGTAATTTTTCATGGTCAAGTACAACAGGAGGAGTACAGCAAAAGTAAAAGAAAAAGGTTTTAAGAGAAGGGCATGTGTATTACTGGTGTTGAAACTTTCCCACTATAGTCATGCCACATCCTATACCTACAACTATCCAAATTCAACATATATATAACAGTAGTGTGCAAATTGTGGATCCTGGGCCACATGCACCCTTAAGGCAAAGTAGTCTGATCCATAGAACAATGATGTATACCAAAGCCTAATAAGATATAAATGGAAGTAAACAACAACAGTCAAGGATTATGCTTCAACCTATTCTGATTCCAAAATTCCATGTCCATATTCGACAGAAGAGAATTTGCAGTGATTCAGTGGAAAGGAGTGGTGAAAGTTCATCAACCACAAGCTTCGGGGTGGAGATGGCAAACCTGAGGGTTAGCAGTTTGGGGGTAAACAAGTGAATACAGGCTTTGCTTATCCTGAAGCTATCTTTGTGGTTGAAGGCATGCAGGTGCTTGAATATCTTGATTGTCTCCATGACTATGCAGGAATGGATGATGATGTTGGCCACACCCAACATTCAATGCAGCTCTCACCCAAAACCCACAATTTTGAGAAAAGTAAAAATATTTTGTTAGGCTTAATTATTTGAATTATATTACGATTACTTACGATTGAATTCACAGTTTTGCGCCACAGACTGGATAATCTCAAAATCAAAAATATCTATGAACATATCCTTCAGCCTGTGAATGACATCCTGTCGTTTTCTAGAATTAAAGTTTATTTCTGGTTGTTGTGGTAAATTTGAAGGATTTCTCTTCCGACTTCTGCCTCCTTTTGAAACCCAACCCTGCTGCTGGGACCACTGGTTATTGTTTGATGCCATGGTTTTCAGAAAGGTCTAGCTCTGCAACCAATAACTGTACAAATTTAGAAAATGATCAAATTGTCACAAGCCAACTTCTGATCAATACGTACTGCAATCAATGCATACACACAAAGTTCCTTATCAGCGTCTATATTTGATGCTTATACTACGTCGCTCATACTTTACATAAAACTTTTTAAAATCACCATTCCAAACCTTCTCACTTTAGACCAAAATAAAACGTAAAAAGTTCTTTAAAACAGAGTCACACAATCACAACACCAAAACTGAAGAAAAGGCAATAAAATTAATTTGTACAAAACAAAGGTTATCCCCCAAACATAATGACATCATAGAATGTTATTTGTAATGAATAATTGGTCAACCGTGGTAACGGAAAAATACGATTATGACCACGAACATGTTCCCATGTGGTAGTAGCTCTTGTGAATCGTGCCAAGATGTCTCCGCGTATGAGCTGCCACCCATTGGTATTCCATGGAAACCTTGAATAACCAAATAATAATAAGGGGAAACGCATAATCATTAATTACGTGGAGTTGAGATCCAACATTTTATGTAACACGAGGTTAACTGCCTTGTTCACAAGAGTCAACCACTGGTCCCTGTCCTGAGCCAGATAAATCCAGCCCATCCTATTTCTCCAAGATCCATTTTAATAGTATCTTCCCATCTACGTCTGGGTCTTTGGTCTCTCCTGGTTTGCCCACACTGTATGAATTCCTATTCACTCCAGTGCAAGCTATATGCCCTGCCCATCTCATTCCTTGACTTGATCAGTTTATTTATATTTGACAAGTAGTACAATCTATAAAGCTCCTCATAATACAACTTTCTCCAGCCTCCTTGTATTTCACTCCCCTTCTTCTATGGTGTGATGGCTCGAAGTCGAGCCCTGGCCTCCTTATTCCTCTTAGGTCCAATTATTCTCAGCACCCTGTTCTGAAACTCCCTCAGTACATGCCCCTCCCTTACTGTCAGAGACCAAGTTTCAGACCCATACAAAACTACAAGCAAAATTATAGTTTTGTATATTTTAGTATTTATGTTTTTAGACAGCAGAAGATTCTGAACTGAATGGGAGAAAGCATTACTAGAATTTAATATGCTCTTAATGTCCCCATAAATCAAATTATTACTGTCATGCCCAAATATCTGAACTTTGTCACATTTTCAAAGGATCCATTAGCTACCTTTTATGTTATGGTTTTGCCCTGCATTCTGGTAATGATACATCAACAAATACTTAGCTTTCTCTGTTTCCCTCTAGATGAACCTCATTACTAGGATAAATTAGAACTTTGTTTTTTCCTTTACAGTATTTGTGTTAACCCCCAATACATTTATATCATCAGCATACACCAAAAGCTGATTTTGAGGAATTTATTCTGAAGTAAATATGTATATGGACATTTTGAGAAGATATCAGGCTCCTGTGAACAAGGAAATGAGCCTGTTAAGTCCCATAAAAGGCAGTAAGTTTCTTGACCAATTGAGCAACTATGAGGTTGTAAAAAACTATGCCTCACATTAGTATTTTGAGTAGGCAGAACCCAGAAGTATTCTAGAGGAATAAGATATTTAAATTTATTTTTATCAGTACTGTATGACACACTGTTAGTCCTCAAACATTAAATGTAGACTGTGACTACTGAAATATTCTGTCCGAGTTTCACAGTAATTCTGGAACCAATAGAATAATCTTTTATTCAGTATAATGTCACAAAATAACACTATATAAACCGCAGTCATGTTAACACATACCCTTCAGTATGTTAATCTCTCCACTCCTAAATCCCATTTATTCCGCTTTGGCTATTCCTCATTTCTTTCCACAAAAATTTATTTCCTTAAGCCATGTCCATGTTAGACAAGTCAATGCACATTCACTGCAATGTACACATTCAAAGCATATATATATCTTCCTAGCTGCATTATCTACCTCATGCATTACTTTCAAAACATCACATCCTGTATTCTATGCATCTTTTCACTGTATTATGTTCTACACTATTTCCTGATAAGGAAAACAGGGTCATGTCAGGATATAATGAAGCAAATTTCCCACGTTTAAAATTCACACACATTTAGTTCATTGCTCACACCACAGTGTAGCAGTGCATTACTTATAATTCCCAAGGTTATACTCACCTTTCACCACATAAAGATGATTCTTCAAATGCTGAAAAAATGCTCCCACTCCCTGAATCATATAAACATGCTTTACATTCCTTCTCAGATACAACAGCAAAATTGGAAGATTCTTAAAATATAATTACATGTTAATGAATGCCAATGTTCCAAAACACAAGACGAAACCGCTGTCACTAATTTTCCGATATTCTTCGCAATCTATAAGGGTGGTATAGTTTGTCTGAAAACTTAAACATACTCTAACCTACAATTAGCAATGACAAATCATTACAAGTAACAATCACAGATGGCATTCACCTGCACTCAGAGAAAATCTATTTTGATCACTTTCTGAAATAATAACCTTATTTGAAATATGGTAAGTAATATTAATAAAAAGATACCTATTGATGATCTTAAACCACATCTTGGCACAAATACAGCCATTTCAACTACATGAGATAGTTGCATTCTTTGAAAACACTGCATTATGAAAAGTTACATCACAGAAACCTTTGGTTCAACTAGGAGTGAGGAGTTAGGGTTTGAGAGTTCATATTCATCATCATAAATGTAATTTTTTTGTAGAAGTTAATCCTATTATTAATTTGGACATATTACTGTTTCATAACAAGATACATACCTGTGTTTACTGTTTACTTCTCTTAATTTCTTTGCTTGCTTTATTTCAATAGCATCATATCCAAAATGCACACGTATTATAGAAACAGCTTTCTATTGTAAATCAATTGCACTATAGGCATTTCACATAATGAATATATGTTATAAGCAAAATGACTGTAATAAATAATAAAGAGGCACAAAAGCACAGCACACAAAGCACAACTTCTACAAATTATTGTAAAAAAAATATACACGATACATTATAAAAATATTTCATGCTTATTATTAAAGTTCATAAATTATATACCACATTTACTTGTGTATTCAACAGTTCTTTTCCTCAAATTTAATCATTTTTAAAATTAGGGTGCAAGTAATATACACAAGTAAATACAGTACATGCAACATGTCCTAGTTGTTCAATTTAATTCTGCAAGACTACTATATATTCTTTCATTTAATCATAACATATATTCAACTGAGTTTGCCCCACAAAAATGCAATGTGTCTTAATGATAATTTCCTTTTCAGACTTAATATTTCTTACATCTGAAGATAGTTCAGTATCTAATGAATTTAATCAGCTGATGATGCCTGCAGTCCAAGACAGTTTGAAGTAATCCTTAAAAAAGAATTGGTGTAATAACTTCCAAAAAACACATTTCAAAATTCATAAGCTTAAAAACTGTTAACAGACTCAAGAGAAAAAAGCAATAAGCACACACTACCAGGGGCAGAACTGATATAAAAATATCATTCAATACACAAGCTCACCACTCTATAAATAAAATAAGACCTTTGTATTTTACTGCAGCAAAAGCTATTCAGTCTCCTTCTTTTAGTTACCATACTTTTCAGCAGTTTCTGTACCATGGCTGCAATTCAAGAAATACTAATTTAAGGCCATGTGACAGCTCAAGTGGTTAGATGCACATTTCTCTGTAGAAACTCAGATTCAAACCCAAGGTAGTCCATATGGGATATGCAGCGGACACAGTATTGTTGGAACGGGTTCTCAACAAGTAATTATGTTTCCCTCCACCAATCCTCTATACTCATCTGTCATATTCACCAGGGATTGGTACAATACTCTTATAAATAATAATAATTTTGTTGGACTAAAAATGTTCTTCACATATCTTCCCCATGCCACATACAGAGTTTGAAGGATTACAAGGAAAGGTAGAATTACACATCAAATTATCCTACCAGTTGGCCAGTTAAATAACACAATGTTCAACTTCAAAGATGACTGTGTTCTGGAATGTTGTGCTACAAGTCATCACCCCGATGTTGGAGGCAGTGGAGCACCTATGAAATGCCAGTTTCTATGACTACAGTACCACATCCCAGCAGTCAACTTTGTACCTGCTCTCCCTCAACCCACCCATGAGAACCTTAAATCTCATCATGTTTCCAAGTTTTACTTTGTCTCCTAAATCATGCATCAGCGAGCTTTCTGTGCAAAGTGAGTACGTCTATGTCGCGAACACTCGCCACTTCTAAAGAAAGTTTTATTACATACATCACATTTATATGGTTTCTCTCCCGTGTGCATACGATAATGTTCCTTCAGGTTTCCGTTCGCAGAAAACTTTTTCAAACATACATCACATTCATATGGTTTCTCTCCGGTGTGGCAGCGCCTATGTCTCACAAGATCAGCAATGCGAGGAAACACTTTCAAACAAGTTTCACATTTAATAGGATTGTCACCTTCATGGATTCGTTTGTGACAATTCAAGTCCCCCTTTCTTCTAAAATTCTTAAAGCATACATCGCACTTAAATGGTTTCTCTCCCGTGTGAATTCGATAATGTTGCTTCAGATATCCACGTCCTCGAAATCGGTTATTGCATATAACACACTCATACGGCTTCTCTCCAGAGTGAGTACGTTTGTGACTCATAAGATTCGAATGCTGAGAGAAAACTTTATCACATAACAAACACTTATATGGTTTTTCCCCAGTATGAATACGATAGTGTTGCTTCAGGTTTCCTTTTTGAGCAAACTTCAGGTCGCACTTATCACAACTAAACGACTTTTCTCCTGTGTGGATACGCATATGTTGCTTCCGATTATGATGGCTTGAAAAATGCTTATTACAAACTTCACATTTGTAGACTCTACCATTTCTCATTTTATGAGAATTACTTTTTTGTATTTCATTGGTTGCCAATTTAGAACTATTCATAGAATTGCTGTTCTCATTAGGAATATCAGTTTCCTTACCAAGACAGTACTCAGGCTCTGTGAAATGAGAATCCTCCACCACAGGAACTCCTTGGTGACTCGTAAAATGTTTCACACTGGGAAAGGAAACCGTAACAGTGTAAAGAAGCTTTAGTTTGTCCATCTGCACTTCCCTAATTGCCTAGTTACTGGTACCTGAATACATATGCTTCAAAGTGAAATAACAAAGAATTAGTAGTACCACAGCTCAGCTGTGAAAACTGAGACCACACATAAAAGCAAACACTAGAAACTTACCACAAAAAACACTGCTCACCTGTCCACACTCATTTCCCCTTCCTCTGCTGTGTCATCAGCTTCTTCATCATCATCATCATCATCATCATCTTCTTCTTCTTCTTCTTCTTTGTACTCTTCCTTGATTGTAACAAAATTCCATGGCTCCACCTCCTACAAAACAAGCTTGCTTACTGCACAAAATAAATGAAAGCTGTATTTATACATTCTACTACAAACACAAAATTGAAGTATAAGAGCATGAGACTTGGTAAAAGTATGCTTCAAAGTTCTTCCACAACAACTAATTCTTCATCAGGTAGGTGACTTAATTCATAGGACTTTTGATTTTGATTTCACACATCAACCCATCACAAGGCCCTATCTATTAATCCATGTATTCCTCACCTTGTGAGCTATTATCTGAGTACACAGTCATTATGTGTAACCAAATTAATTATGAATACATTCTAAATTATTAATTCATGGCACAAAATAGCAAGAAATTGAGCCCAGAAGATGGGAACAGTGTGTTTCTGCAAAACATTGGAATCTGCCCACAAGATCACATGCCATCATATCCAGACCAATACTAACTGATGTTGTTCTTCTGGGTTGCGATGCCATGTAGACTTGTAGACAGAACCCTCTTTCTATCTTCAGGACTGTATAAGTAGGCAGTATGTTTCTCAGGAAGGTTCGTATCTACCTATGAGTCTACAAGATGTCACAGTCTAGAACAACATCACCTCCACTGCCATGTGAACCTCAAATTGCACAACACTGACTAAGATAAGTTTTCATCCCTGGTATCTTGCATTCTGCATTGTTGGATTATTTTCTTTTTACAAACACATAACCTGTTTTATAAATGCTTATCCAGTATTTCTGAAATAAAAGTGGCAGTGCAAAGTTGTGAGCCCATATGGTATCATGTCTAATCTGCAACTAGGCAAAGATGTGATGAAATTTATTTCATTCTTTTCCGAAGAATATAACTAGGTCTGAGCTGCTTTATATCTTCTTCTTGGGGTCACAGGATTTTTGTATGCAAATGTAGTCTCTAGGTAAAGTATTATATGTGTGCAGTTCATTAGATATGACAATAACTAAGCTTTTCTTACATAACTTACCTTGACTTCAGTCTGTACTTTTGATACATAATTATATTCATTCTTCCCCTCCACCAGCTGAGCTTCATTGAGGGATGACATTAAGAAATTGTTGCTCTCTGATTCTGATTCTTCTTTGATTTCATCCATGTTAAGCTGGAAAACACACAATGATTACAAGTTCATTTTTAACTGATCAGTTGTGCCCCTAACCGCTTAATGAATTAAAAGTTTCATAAACAAAGCAAATAAAAGACAGAAACTACATGCAATGCAGAATTAATACACAGACTGTGTCTCAATACATTAACAGGCAAAACACCATTTTATAACAGGCAAAGAAAAATGCTATCTATTGTGCAGTGAGACAGAATACCTTCTTCAATAAACTGTCTGGCTATGGGACATGCAACCAAAGTTAAACCCCATCACAAACAGCAATTTTTCCCCTTGCTTAGACTTCCTCCCCATAGGCATAAAACTTACCACCGATTTCCATCTGAATGAAGGCCAAA